AGACAAGATATCTAGCAATGAAGTTGGCAACGGTTTGCCTAAGAATGCGACGGGGCAACTAGAGCGACATGGCAGGCAGAGAGAAGGGTTGTTAATCAAGGTGGCTTGGCCGACCAGGTGGTGTTTGTAGGCAGCCATTGCGCCAGCGGTGATAGAGTCCTGTATGTCAACACTGGAGTAAGAGGAAGGGGTAGATGAAAAGGATGAGGACACAGAGGATATTATTGATGCCGGCTGCGCCTGGATTGCCTGCAGCGCGGCTCTAGCATTTGCAAGTTCTGTCTCCAACAAATCAATGGCCGATTGTAGGATGATGGGCATTGCTTTTGCGTTAAGGGGATCAATGGCGGTCCTTAAAGTAGCCCATAGCTGCCCTTGGGCCATATCAAGCCAGCTGATATGGGAGATAGCTTATAATATATTATTAAATGCCCTTAACCTCTAAAACACTCTGATGCAGAGTAGAATCACTGGCGCAATTCTCCTTCGGATGAGGTCGTTTGGGAAGTGATGACTAATCCGGTCGCAATAGCCGGAGCACAGGGCTGGGCGGAGAAAACACGTGCAAGCGGCGCCCGTGGGAGGAAATGTCTTTCCAGAGTCAACCGTCCAGCGGGCTATGCTGCAACACCAATGGGTCAAAAGAAAGTCAAGAGACTCCAGATGGATGTTAAGCGGTCCGGAAAGAGGGTTGGCTGGGCGTGGCAAATGCAAAATGAAAAAAAGAGTGATGATAAGTGGATAAAATAGAGATGGTTTGGCACCGACCCAACAGATCTCATGGAGAAAGTGGATATCGGAGAGCCAGAGCAATGTTCAGATATATGGAGACCGGAGAACTAGAGCCTTTCGATCTGTTTGAGCTTCCCAGTTGAGGCCCGAGGGGAAGGAAAACTTGAAGTGGAGCAAAAATATATAAAATGAGGTTTGCGGAAAATTATATACTTTGATATTCTCACTTAATCTAAGATGGTTGAACAATACTAATGGAATGACGGAACACAACCTCCTCTGGGGTTAACAGCAAATTATATCAAATAGTGCACCCAAGAGGCTAAGTTGGTGCCACTCCCCGGCGCTGCGGGAGTGACCAAACTCGGCCGGTGAGTGCGCCAATTGTCTCCGCAGACTACTAGAGCTATCTTGAACAAAGCAACAGGACGAACGGACGAACCAGAGGGTTTGGAGCTCGAATCCTGAAAATGAGGCCAATCGAAGCTAAGCAGCCTGGCAAGGAAGCGGATATGAGTTATTAAGAAATCCTAGTTAAGCTTACACCGAAACAATGAAATCGGTAGCTAAGGAGCTTCGACAACAGAACCCTTACGAAGTTAGGAAGGGAATTCGTGGAGGACAGTTGAGTTTGATGCCATAACGACTCATATCCATCATGCCACTCGATAGATATTCAGACAAGTTTTTCATTCTTCTTTAATCTCCTCTCACGCTACGGAGGAGCAACAGAGCACACAACCCAAGCCTTCCCGAAGATCATATCAGCTTGAGAGGGTTGGAATTTCCACCTCAACTACCGAGGAAGTAACCGGCATAAAAGTTACACATCTTCCGCTTCAACAAACCAGCTGCGAACTGCCCAGTGGCCGAATAATAAGGCTTTAAGCTTATCTTTTCAATCCTTGGCAGCATTTGTTCAAGATTGATATTCTGCCAAGCCAATGGAGATCTGTCTTGCCAAGGTGTGGATTCATGATGTTTGTCTTGTTCAACATCTACAAGATTACGCATACCAGAGTCTCGGGGATCTACGACAGTGAAAGTGATCAATTGATCCATATTTATCTCAGGAGTGCATGTTCATGCTTGGGATTGTGGTAGCTTTCTCCAGCTACTAACACCGCATGGATATATCTTCGACAGCATCAACCCGTGTCCTTTGAGGGGCAACAAATCCTTGCTACACATGCCATAGTCTCCGGGCAAGTGACTGTCGACCATGCAATAATAATACCTATGTCAGAATGAGAAGCGAAAAGCCCAGCCTGGAGCCAGCTAACTCTGGGCCCATGCCCGGCATCTTTGCTTCCCATGCTAACAATGTATTTGTGAACCACCTACAAGATAATTTATAAGAAAATGACTGCAGAACCCTGTCCGTCCGTTCTCGATATTGGTATTGTTGTTTTCACCAGCGGCATATGCGAACGTAATCAAACAACTTGTGAGGAATATGTACGCCGTACTTTAACCCCCTGCGCCCCCACCTTTCAAAAAAGAAAAGAAAAAAAAAAAAAAAAAAAAAAAAAAACCTAATGTATGTGCACGTATAGCACAAGCACACATACATACGGTCCATATACATATATGGGAACTGCTCATTTGGCTTCGTGTGCGGCGTCCTGGCAAATTTGAGTCTAGTCCAGTCGAGTCATGGTCGGAAACTTTGGCTTTTGGAAAAAGATTTGGCTGTTGTTTGACATCGACTAACACCCTATCAGCACCAGCATGATGCGGCATCACACGCGTACCAGCCGTGAGACTGTGTGACTTGGTTAGTGTTGCTGATAGGGCCGTTCGAGGAGGTCGGATAAATGTCGAGCTGTGATAGGTGGGTAGCGCATTTAAGTTGGGAACTTATTTATATTACTTCTAAGATTTTGCATGGGATGGGGGAATTTGTGAAAGCTTCGTGTCGTGACGTTTGTTTTCTAACAAACAATGATTTAACTAGTTATGATGTGATATCTTTGACAAATGGGACGGGGTATTTTAGGAATAAATAGGTACAACTCTTTAGGAGTGCAGGTTTATCCATTCTACAGGAAACATTGCCAATTCAGTCAAGGCTGGGATCAGTTATTGTTGTTCATGTCAGTATCGTTTGGTATGAAGTCCTTTTGATAGGCGTGTGTTCTGGTAGTGTCCGGATCAAATGGATATTGAAGACTATTTCATTTGAAATGAAAATCCTCTCTCATACCACTCATATACTTAGATAGTGGAATATACACCAAGGATTCTACACCGACCTTTATCTAGCGAATACACTCAACACAATGTCAAGTGTCCCTTTTCCAGTATTAGAAAATATACCCCGCAGAAAACTGCATGTTTTGCTTACCTATACAAATTCTAGTTATACATATTCATGCCAAAGAGAGATACGAAGATAATGAGAAAAAACGGGTATGGTAAAGTGGCTTAAGAAAGATGCTTGGGTGGTTAAATAAGTAAGCCAAAAAAAAAAAAAAAGATCGACAGCAGAGAGCACAGCACTTTAATAGGAACACCCACCAATCTATCGTCGCCTGTCCGTAAATATCCACACATGCCGTAAAACTCGATTCGCATAATGGGGAAAAGAGGGAGTCAAAGTACCACATCTACTTGAAGAATTTCTGCAAACTAACTTCCTTGTCGTCGTGTTTGTTCAGCACTTTCGCCGTCGCTAGGTCGAAATCTTCTTGCGTCACGTGCACACGACGCTCACGCAGCGCATACATGCCTGCCTCTGTGCAGACACCCTTGAGCTCTGCGCCTGAGCAGCCATTCATCTTCTCTGCGATTTTGGTGAGGTTGATGCCACGGGTAAGATTCATGGATCGTGAGTGGATGCGCAAGATGTCGGCGCGGGCTTCGACACTGTTGTAGAGAGAAGAAATGGTAAGTTGGGCTACTTTTGACACATAAAGACCTTCCAAAAATCCATGCACTGCTGCGGAGCTTGGTAAACTCCATTTGGCAATAGAGAAATAAGAGGATCGACTTACGTGGGTGGTGGGAACTCGATCTTTCGGTCAATTCTCCCTGGTCGAAGAAGTGCGGGATCGAGAATATCGAGACGATTGGTAGCCATGATCACTTTGATGTTCTTTGTTGGTTCAAATCCATCCAGTTGATTAAGGAGTTCCAACATCGTCCTCTGGACCTCAGAGTCTCCTCCGCTGCTGCCTTCCACACGACTGGAGCCGATACTGTCGATTTCGTCCATGAAAATGATACTGGGAGCATGTTCCCGGGCCATAATGAACAGTTCCCGGACCATCCTGCTGCCTTCACCGATATACTTCTGCACTAACTCCGATCCACTCACCCGAATGAATTTGCAGTCCGCGTGATGTGCCACCGCTCGTGCAAGCAGAGTCTTACCGGTACCGGGTGGTCCATATAAAAGGACACCTTTTGGCTGTGCGATACCTAACGATTCGAAGAGTTCTGGGTGATTAAGTCCAAGCTCGATGACTTCTTTGATTTCCTTGATTTGTTGGTCGAGGCCACCAATCATGTCGTAGGTACTGTCGGGCACTTTCTCGACCATCATGAGAGAAACTAGCGGGTCAACGGACGAGGGAAGCATCTTTTCAAGCTTATATGAGTCTGAGAGCAATGACACGCGCTTCCCCACTGTGAGCTTGGAAATATCGACATTATCTGCAACATCAACGACTAGAGAGTTCCTGGGTTTAGCTGAATTCTAGAGAGGCAGCTAGCTTCCGTCACTTGCGATCAAGAAGCAAAGGGAAGAAAACTGAAGGATATAAAGAAACTTACCATATTTCCCTTCTGGATGCACCTTCACGAGTACTTTCTTAGTGCCCATAACCTTGACCACCTCGCCAACATATGATCCCGGTTGTTGTAAAAGACCAAGCTCTTCCCGTAGCAGCCTTACTCTGGAGTTGTAGTCGTTCCGCTGTGCTTCGAGCCGTCTCAGAACAGCTTGCCCCTGAATGATTTCAAGCTTCATGCTTTCTATCTTGTTCCGAAAGTAGTTGTCGAGCGCCATGGTTTGTGTGGAGATGGAGGAAGGTAGTCGGGATGGCTTGGAGGAGGTGAAGGGGATGGAGGAAGGCCGATTGGCAACAGGAGACGTGCAGTCAGGTTCAAGAGTTTTGGTACAGTGTTGAATGATCAGTAATTCCGCGGGAATAATGGATACAACAATGTCGGCTCATCTCCAGGTACCTCTGGTGTACGTCCCTTTTCTTGTCTGAACAACAGCCCGGAAAGCATCAGCAGCTCCCCCTTTGGGCAGAGGTAGTGCGTCTCCTGCGTTGTGCTTAGTCACACGCTATGTTTGCTCTGTTTGCTCTGTTTGTCCTGTTTGTCTGTGGAGCTTTCCTGAAAGTCATGGCATTATGCGGCTCTTTGAGGTCAGTGTGTGTTATCAAACCGCTATCACGAAATTGACACTGATAGACATAAACTTACAGATAATCTTCATTCCTTACTTTGGTCTGCTGTCAACTGGATGTGGATGTAGATTTCTGGTTTCTGTCTGTGAGGTTGAGCTGGACCCTGTCAATCCAACCATCCTCTGACAGCTCCTCCGAAGGAACCTGCCTGACTTCTCCCCCCTCCCTTCCAGTGCTGATCACATGTCTGGTATCGCAGTCAGTTCCTCAGTCATTTGCAACTGCAAACAAGGGCTAGGATAATAGATTCGTCATCAATATCTGATCTCTCTCTGATATGAATTATCTCCAAAGCGGTAGTACTACTGGATGGCCCCTTCGTTCTCTCTGTGTCACCGGAGCTCTCCTTATTAAATTTCTTATTGCTTTGCAGTTTGGGTAGGCGAACATCTCCCGTTTCAACATCATGGCATCCCACAGTGATGGCAGGGATCCTCAAGATCAATCGGAGTTCATATCTGCTTCAGCGTCATCATCCAACATCCCCATTATCCGAACCCAGCCCTCCCGACCAACATCAAGGGACAATGCGGGAGATACAACTCGGGTTCCCCGGGCTGTAGAATCCCAATCTGGAACAACATATGGTAAGAAAACCATCCAGATCCATCAGTAGCTGATGCCTTTGAAACTTTATTTTTCAACGACTAACATGCCCAAAAGGAACTATGGACCCGCACGATACAAGACGGCTCGAATCCCGGGCCGAGGAAAGCTATCAAACACCTGCAGCCACATATGAGCCCATACGGTCGCCCGTCATCTCACAGCAGTCTTCTGAGCGAACGCCCAAAAAGCCCCCAACCATACGTCGCACTTCTAACAAACCGTATAGAGGCCAAGAATTCTCAGTTGACGATGATCCAAGGGAGTACGAAGAGGACAATGCCCTTTACAGACATGTCTCTGGGAGATCCACAACTTCTCTTCGTCGGAGGCCTCATGCCCAGCAGCCTGCGCTCCAACGTGTTGATTCGAGAGACGAAGGCTCTGTTCATTTACCAACTTCTGCTGAATCCAGCGGTCGCCGTGGCAGTGGGGGTGAACCCTCTAAACTCACCATGAGTGTCGATGCGGAGGATGATTCTCGCAGTGATGTGAGTGATGCAGAGAGCTTCACGCTTAAGGACCGCCAACAGGCCATCAATGCGACGCATCCTTTTGGTATCAGAATTTGGAAACCTGCTCTGTACAAGAAATTTCGCTCCGTTGAAAAGACAGCAGAGGGGGATATCCATTCGGTTCCCGGAGAGCGGGTGAGCAATTGGCTGTTTATGGCTAATCTTCTATGGTCAATCATTTTTGGTTGGTGGCTGGCTCTGGCATCCCTTCTCGGGGCTGTTGCTTGCTATGTCCTTGGCTTTTCCCCCGATGCTAGGGCATATGGGAAAGTGTTTTACGATCTCTCTTTCTACTTCTTCTATCCCTTTGGTTCATTTGTCTGTCTGGAATCCGACGAAAACTATGCACATGAAGATGAAGGCGAAGGCCGTAGTATCAGCGAGTATGAGCAATGGCAAAGCGGAGACCTTGAACATGGAAGGCTATTTTTTGGCCCAATTTCAAGGCGCTCTCTCGTGGGGCGTCGAAGAAATAGCCTTGACTCGGCTAGCGAGCATGACAGTCTCCTCGGTAGTAGAACAGGTAGAGGATCTCACGATGGAAGTTCTTCCAGGACGAAGAGACGATTTTTTGGTCGAGGGGAGTGGACAGTGGGAAGAGTTGTCTTTTATACGTTCTTCTACTTCCTCGTCGGCCCTTTGATGCTCTTTGTGTCTCAGATTTGCTGGATGATGGTATTCTGGATCCCCATGGGTAGAGTGACCATCATTTTATTCTCCCATCTTCGCCGTCATCCACTTGCGCTTTCATTCCATTCCGATGTGACCTACACCCGATCACCGTCTCGACCTTCATCCTCGATCCTTCTTTGTACCTATCGCGCTGCCGGTCAGAAATACTGGAAATACACCATTGATGGAACTAATATCTTCTTCATCAACCTGCTTTCTGTGGTTATTTTCACCATACTGGATTTTTGGGTACTACGTGTGATGTTCCAAATCAAGACGTGGATTACTCATCCCGGTTTGATATTTACTCTGGCTCTCTTTTCGATTATCCCTTTGGCTTATTTCATTGGACAAGCTGTTGCGTCCATCTCCGCCCAGTCATCAATGGGGCTTGGTGCCGCTGTCAACGCATTCTTTTCGACGGTGGTCGAAGTATTTCTGTATTGTGTTGCCCTTACAGAAGGCAAGGCACAACTCGTTGAAGGGAGCATCATTGGTAGCATTTTCGCCGGCATCCTGTTTCTTCCGG